GTTTTCCAATCAGGACTCTGACAACCTAACACCTGCCACAGCAGCTCAACAAATGCAATCTAATGGCTGTCAACCCTCACGTGGACACATTTTTCTCGTCTTTGTTCATTTTCTCATTACTCATATGCAGTACGCTATCTTAAAGCCCAGTCATTGCACTAGGATAATTGTAATGTTTGGTTATGTGATAATACAAGACATCAGTAATCAGACTGTTCCTGATACACTGCAGTATCTCCTAATCCCGTCACTAGGATTGTGCATTTTATTCTTTCAAGGCAAGCCTAGCAGTAGTGTGAAATTTTACATTACATAACTCAGTTCTGATTTTAACTCCTTCAACAAAAAGGTTAGAATTAGCATCTGATTCACTGAGAAAGCAATTGTGCAAATAAATATTCACTAAGTACCTCAAACATGCCATGCTTCGGGGCACAAGGCCGGGTAATTTCTTCTCCCCCTATCTCTATAGACAGACCTCTAGCAAAGTGAGTAACAAGTATCAGAGAAGCCAGAAGGATGCTGTGCAACACTTTCTGCTGCTCAACTGGGGAAGAAACGCAGGGCAGAAATGGCCAAGGTCAAGGCAAAAAGCATGCCTGGCCAGCACCCAGCGCAGAATGGAAATGCTGTCTCTGGCATCGGCAAAGTCATGGCCGTGGACCCAGGGTAACAAAAGCACTGAATGAGGTAATGTCTTTTGGGTAAACTGAGCATTTGAGTAAACTGCAGCTGCTGTGACTAACAGCAAGAGGAACGTGCTGCCGATCAGCAGTGACTTTTCAGGAAGACCCACCATTGCTTTAATAGCAGACGCTTGGAAAAAAACAGGAAAATTCAGTAACCTCGTTGAACCAAGCACAAGTGCAGTACTTGAACAAGTAGTTATTAACAGCAGTTGCATACAAATCTTTGCTTCAGTTGAGAAAACAGGCATACAGAAACTCGGCCTACTGGAACATGCACACAGATGACCCTAGCAGGGCAAGCAGCTGGTAGGAGAGGGAGGTGTTAGGGGAAGAAAGCAGTTCAGCAGCCTGGGATTGGGAAGCACAAGCGACTCCAGGGAAAGGCAAAAGGTAATTTCAGACGTGAGCAGTAATTGAGAAAAGGTGAAAAAGAAGACTACTACACTTCGGTATCCTGCTGCCTTCATTTATCATAGGGTGCAGCTTATAACACTGACAGAGCTACACATATTACGTCCTCAGCCTATTACGTAAAGTTCAAAGCATCACATTTGGAAAGTGGTGAAACAGATTCAGAGGCAGCCTGCATTCAGTTTAACAGTTCAAAACGCCATGTGTATTGCAACAACCAAACCCTCAAAGCTCATCTGCTACGCTGATGTAACCCCTAGTTCCAGTTTAACACTGGCTTTAGGCAATGCTACAGAGAGACGTGAATACTAAATTGATGATCCTGACAATCTAGAGCATTAAACATTTTATCTGGCTGGCTGATCAGTCCCATTGTTTGAATAACCCTGAAAGGGCTGACCATGTCGCAGCACAGTGATTCACTCAGCCTTTGCCACAATCCACTGACTAGGGTAAAATTTCTTCCTGTGAACAGACAAACAAGTAGGGGAGCGTCTGCTGTTTGTTGAATGTGTGATAATAAACGGAGATTAACTGGATAATAAAAACACTGCCTGTTTACAGCCACACATCAGTTCCTTGCCAGAGGACACCTATTTGTACAGGGAAAGGGATTAAACTAAAGTCTGGGAGAGAAAGGATTATACGCGCCCGCATTGAAATGTTTATCTGAAAACAGATGGGGGCTGAAAGATATTTTCTTCCTCTTCATTCTCTCCAACACAGAACATACTATAGAAATGAATCTCAGGTCTCTCAAAATGAACTCATGTGTTGGGAAAAATAAAAAAGAGTAATTGCTGATGCTGATTAAGGCTATCACTACAGAGAGCACTGAAGTGATATCCGACTGGTCCGCAGGAACACGCTTCTCCCACTATTGGCAAATTCAAGCCCTCCCTTGGAGGTTTCCATTTCTGTGCTAGCAAGGTCCTGGTTTGAATTTATTAGGCGGGTAAGGGAGAGGAAAAACATGAAGGGAATGAAGGCGGCTTTGACCCTCCTATTAGCATGTTGTTCCAGTTAGTTTGGAGCTGCTTCCTGCCACTAGGGGAGAGCTAGAGCCTCAGCGTTCTTGGGAGAAGAGAGAAGACCCAAACTCACAGGCTTAGCTCAAGAAGGAACAGAAACAATTACCCTTGCTCCAAGGGCAGTGACAGTGCATTGGCTCTTCCCAGTGTTTGTAAAGGATGGCTGTGTCAAAACTGCAGGGCAGCTGTGCTTTGCAGAGTGCCTCCCTGCCAGCTGCTGCCTCTCAGTACACATGCTAGTTATGTCTCCGCTGCAAGTCTGGTCATCACTTGCACGCACGCTTTGGAAAAGGGTACTTGCACGTCCACACAGTGAGAGCAGAAACTTGCTCAGACAGATCTCAAAATCCTTTTGAGGCCTTTTTTAATGGAAAAGACTAGTCTGCCATTTTGGCTAACCAAGCAGAAGATAGAGGCTCTCCTCCTCCAGGAATGACCAAGCACCATGCCCGACTGTGCTGCGTGAGCCAAGGTACAAATGCAGAACTTGATACTCTGACCTTCAGCGAGTCTCCCTTTGATGAAAACCAGAGGTCTGCACAGCGGTTGTTACAAAGAACAGCCTCTTTCCTGTAACTAAACATTTAGTTATTTGTACAGCACTTTATAGTCATCTCACGGAAAAAAGCTCATCTTTGGGACACCGCTGCTCCTGCCATTTCTCTCCTTTAGCTGAGCATCTCCCTTCCTGCTGCATTCAAGTCCCGCACTCCTCAGGTGTTAATCCCACCCCTTTCTTCATCCTTCCCTTCCCTTAAAATGGTATGCAACAATGTGTGCTGAGCTTCATACTGCTATCAGTAGGTTTTACAGTCAACACTCATGGAAGACAAAGATTAAGGGAAGTTCCTGTCCTCTGGAATGGCTGGCTCTGGCCACATGTTCTGCGGGTAGCTTTGCAACTGCAGGGTACTATATTTAGATGAAGTTATATTTCAGAGAATGTGCACGTTTTTCCAAGAACACATCAAGGAGACCACGTACTTGATATTTCTGGCCCACAACTCAAGTAACTCTTACTCTGGAAGTGCCTAACAAATAAAAAACAATCAAATACACAAGTAAGGGGAATGGTGCAGTGGTTAAGACACCGGAATGGAAGGCAGGAGTACTGGGATCTGTTCCCACAGTTCTCCTACAAACAACTGTATTACCAGGGTTTTTTTGTTTGTTCATTTTTTAAGCCAAGGTACATTCTTTAATAGCAAGCACACAACAACAGTCCACAGTAACATATGAGTATCATCTACAATTATTAAGAGGCAAATCCCAGTTAGACTGGCTATGGTTCAGAGGGCATAGGGGGCTTTAAAATTTCTAGTTCATTAGTTGTCCCTGGCTACAACATCAACAGTACAGTGAAGAGTAGTAAGAAACTGGAACCAGCCCAGAAGTGTAGTGTGTACCAGGCTAGTCAAGCTTAAATCAGTAGAAGTGGGGGAAAAAAGTCCTGGTAATTTCCCCCGGAAACCATCTAAAAAAAAAAAAAAAAAAAAACCTATTAACCAGAGGAAAGAGCAACCATCTCTTTTGGAATCCTCCAGCGGTCGTGTTCATGGCAGCTGTCCTGCTACTTATGCTGGAGCTGGTAGTTAAACCTAACTGGGGCAACACTACCATATAAACAAGACAGAACAGTCTTTAGGACAGTTCTACTTCATATATATGCTTTCCTTCTTGCTAGGTTTACTGATATTCCCCCACTCCTCCCCCCCAAAAAAAATCCTGCGTGACCTGCATCTCCTCAGGTCTCAGCAAATTAAACTCGGATGAGCTGTTTCATTGACTCCACACTTCACTGTTGTGCTGTAATTGTTTGCACATAGTTCCCACCTACACTAGGAGACTAGAGCTCAGAACACTAGTACTGACTTTCCACAGAACATGCAGTAGCATCAAGCTGAAGCAATGCATTTGATTAAATGCCTAGTATCTGCTGAAATTTTTCCAGATCTCACCATGGTTTACGGGAACTTACATATTCAAACTAAACCCTATCTCTTCACGGTATGCAAGATTTCCATTAGTTTTCACAGGCATTTTATAATGTAGTCACACAGCACTTTCACTAAGACCATGAGCAAGCTACATCATTTGAAAGAAGAGGAGCAAATGTGTTTTAATTAAAAAACAAAAAATGGTTTTTTTTGGTGGCCATAATGAGATGTAGATAGAGGCTCCTTTTAAAAGAGAGAGGTCTGAACAGAGCGCTTAGTAACTTCTCCTTGATCAGTATCTCTGGGCTCTAGCCAACCAACCTGGCAAGCAAAAGCACTGCAACAAGAAAGCACAAAACAAGAGAGAGAGAGAGAGAGAGAAAGAGAGAGAGACGGAAAGGAAAGGGAAAGAAGAAAAACTGAGGTGTAGAGGTGTAAGCTTTTCAATTCTGCATGAAAAGTACAGCCATCTAAAGCAGGGCAAGGGACTAAATGGAGTGGGGAGAATGACTGATCTTTAATCAACTCGGATATCTAAGTCTAGAATCCTTACTTCTTTTATAGGCAGGGAGGATAAAACAGATACCTCAGATTTTTAAGAACTTGCAAAGGCACAGCCACAGGGGTAAAGACTGGAATTTCTGCAGCGAGAGCCATATCTACAGATGCCATATTTGCAGAATATTCAAGGGCTCAATATATTATGTGAGCTGTTTGATATTCATATTACACAGATCAGAGAAATCTCCAACAATTGGGCACAAAAGGCCAAGGAAAAAGTTACTTACAGAACTGTAACAAGGTAAGGGGAAAGCAACCGGTACACATGGGTCAGAATACACAGTCAAGAAGCTTTGATAACCTATGCTAGCAAAACAAAGGCAAGCCATTTTAAATCATGGCCGTCCAAACAGCTCAAAACCCAAGTAATGTCAAAGGAGATGACCATATTCATTTGTGTTATTTGCTTCCTGCACAGTAAAGACTAGCAGTAGAAAACAATTACATTCTACATTTTAACAGGAAATCTCAGAGGACAGCATCCAAAGATGGATAAGTGACATTAGCCTTCATTAGCAGACAGAGAAATCAGGGTACAGAAAGATTATGCGATTTGTACAGCACCATACAGGAAGATGAGAGCAGAGCCAATGAACAGTGAGCATGTCCTGTCTTCCAATCCACAAAAGTAGGCCTCTAAGTCCAAAGCATCTATAGTGTCTTCGGCAAAAAGTATAACTGATACTACTAACAAAATTACATTAATATAGGCACGCAATTGCTTCTCTTGTATGTCTATGTGCTGTAACATATACCTAGAAAGGAGAAACAACACAGAATGATCTATTAATTTCACGAGCACAGACTTCACTTCTTGCCTTAGCCCTCCTTCTGTGAAATCAACTTTCACTTGGCAGCCCATCTGATGCAACTTTTCTCTGAAGGAGAGAGAAGCCAGCAGAAATACTGCGCGCATATGCTTACAGCACAATTAAAAGGCACCTAATTAAAATGAGAATTTCAAATTTCTTTTGGGCTGCACATTAACCCACACCCTAACAGTCTAGCAATAACATACGACATACGTAGGCTCAAGAAACTCATTAGTATAGTAAAGGGGAGAGCTGCCTTCCTCCACTAGGCTTTATAATAGGCAAAGTGCTCAATTACAAGTCACAGGTTTTCTACAAACCTACACAGCATGTATAACTTGGTGTATTTTCCACCAAGGACCAAGCAGCACATCATTAGTAAGAAACAAAAAGTTAAGCATTAAGCAAGAAGCAAAAAACCAAGACTGTCAGTCTTGTCAGTTAGGTTCACAACACTTAATCACAAGTACATCAAACTAGTCTCCGATGAGCCTTTCGGTTTAACCCGGCAGCAGCGGCCAGTGATGATGCTGGCAGTCTGCTGGCTGAAGCAAATTTATGTCCTGAACCAAAGGCTCTATTGATTTTAGTTGTCTTTCGATTAGAACCTTATAATTCATAAGGAGTGTTCTGCCACGGAAAGAGATCCCTAGCTTCTGACATGCACTTCATCAGCTAATTTGATGGAGCCCAAGTTAAACCAACCCTTACAGGCTAGTAATTAACTGGCCGAGTGCAACCTGCAGCAGGGACATCACAGCAGTTTAGAAAATAACCAGTATCTCTAAGATGTGACAAGGAAATATTTGTTTTTCTCCTTGCCCACTGCTGTTCCAGCAGACTCTAAGCCCTTCAGTCTCTTAGCAAGATGCTCAGCAGCAAGACAGGGAAAACAGCTCATGGGAGGAAAACAGCACTGTTTTTTTTACAATCCCCAGATTTGTGTTAACGTGCAGGAAGTTAAAAAAGGAAAATGATTCTCCTTCCTCCGTGCCATACCAGCCCCTCAAATCCCTTCCTTCTCCACCCCATTAAAAAAGACAGCCCTGCATAAAAAGGAATCTGTTTAAAAAATAGATTTCCTTGCTGCAAAACTCATCTGTGTGAAAACCAAGTATCTTTAAACAAAATGACCTTTTTGCTTATCTGTCACCTGCCATTACTGCTTTTGCAAAGGAAAATTATGGAACACGTTAGAACCAAAGATCTGTGTTTTTGCAAAAGGACTAGAAGAAAAAAAATAAAACGCTGTCAAATCAATATAATCTGTATCTGCTTCAGGGACATGCTCTTCAAAGCTTCACTTTATGTAACAGCATCTCTTTAAACCATTAGCTCTTTTTAATTACCCTCTTTTATAAGTTTATCCCACTGATCACAACAGAGAATCCCCCCCCTCATGACTTTCCTGAAAAACGGCGCTCTCTCTCTTTTCCAGCAGCTCCCCAATTGCTGTCATAGTCACATCTCACACAATCCCAAAATTAAGATGTCTGTAACGGGAAGAACAGACAATTCACTGAAATTTCAAAATAACTACATCTGAGTTACTCAAAACTGTATTCACTGAAAACTGAGAAGTTCAACTACATGAGCACACTTCGCTAGCTTCCCCAAGTCTAACTCACTTTGTTTTTAACTTCTCATTTATTGCACTAATTCAAGCATCAACAATTATTCATCACTTAATTATGGAAAATAATGATGGACCTCCTCCGGTAGCTCTCCTCTGTCCTTTTTCCACATACCCACTCTTCTGAACATATATGATCTGTCCATTAAGAGAACTCCTATATCTGCACAATAAAAGGCATACTCTATTAACATTCATCTAAATTTAACACATCTGGGTCTTATACAATACTTTTGTTAGCATAGGTGCTTACAGCATTTTACAGAATAGAGTAAAATACTGCTAGAATAGTGACTATACAGATAAACAGTCTGACATTATGACCTGTTTTTCCAGGTACAGAATAGAAGACTAAGCAAACATCTTTATTCTCACGATCATCTTGCAACAAAAGGAACATCAGGACATTCATGTATATATGACGTACATTTTAAATGGCATTACAATTCACCTGCCCAGATTACTGGGCAAATGAATACCGATTCGGCTCTATCGCTATTGCATAAACAGATGTTTCCCAAGAGGCTTTCACGGGCATATTTCTGTTTTGCATACAAAGTAGGAGCAGAACACAAAACAAGTTGTGACTGGCTAAGCATCAGGACAAATGGTAAGCACAAAGACAAGGACATTTCTGTTTCTTAGTCAATTGTAATGGACTAAAGTGTGACTGAACGAGACCACAAGATGAGAAGCTTTTTCTAGGGTCTCTTTCTAGACCGCGGATAGAGCCTAAAGCGCTGGACATAGTGCCAAGCAGAGCGGTGTAAAGCTGTAGCCAGGAACGCTCTTCGCCACTGCTTCTTTGGTGCGATGGTCTCTCTTTATGGAGTAGGTAACTTTTTAGGGAACACAGACTTTCCATTGGCTGTGTCAGCAGCACCAAGGTGACAACGCAAGGTAGGAATGACTGAATTTGGAAAGAAATTTACCCTGGTCAGCAGCACTGAGGAGGCAAATACAAGTAATCAGGCTTCAATCATGACAGAAATTTATTTACTTTCCCCAAACTGTGGAACTTGGTGCAGAGAGAAGGAGGAGATGAACACCCAAACTGGCTTGGAACAATCTAAACTTTTCTAAATGCGCACAGATTTTGATCACAAAGAAGGCCTGATAATTCACATACTAGAATTAGCAGCAGTCAGGACAAACTCTGCTTTCCTCCTCTACTTAAGACAGAATAAACAAAGATTAACAGCAATTGTCCACATTCTCTGTTCTGGGGATTCTGTCAATATGAAATCTTCCAAAAGAGAACACTGCCAGGACCTACAGCACTACATACTCCACTAAATGAACAACCAATTGCACGCTCTCTCAGAGATATTTTATAACAAGCTCAAACCTGAAAAGATCAGAAAAGCAATGGCACACTTGCCTCTTTGAGTAGTGGACTTTGGGAGAAAGTCATGGAGTGTCTCAAAAGCTTACAAACGCTCACAGTATTTCAAGTCACTGATAAGTGCGAAATTAGCACAAACACTATACTCCCAAGCAGTGAAATAATGAAATGCAAGTTTCCCTTCACCACTCTGCCAATGCAGATCATCCATGACCTGCAATAACCTGAACATCCTCCTTCTGTGTACATTATGCACAGGACTCCTGATCATCCAGGCTAGGGAATTTTGCATATGCAAGAATACAGTCATGTTCACTCTGACCAAATGAACCATACTAGGCCTCTAAAAACACATTATTTTCAACATCAGAACTGATGCTAAATGATTCCTATTGGCACAAAAAACAAGCACCGGCCATTTTTTCCCCTCATAACTTAGCTTGATTTTTAAAAAGAGGTAGGGCAGGGAACGAGAAGGCAGAATGTTTTTAAGGACTATCAACACCTAAATACCACATCAAAGGCCAAAACTTAGAGCAAGATGGCAAAACTGGAGCAAGACAATTCTCAACTTTTTCTCCTCACTCTGAATCTCATAACATTTTATTCCTTAATTGTGAATTATAACATTTTACAGTCAAAGCAGCACATCTTCCAGCACGAAAACCTCAAATAACCATTACTGACATACCTTTCCAGAATCAACCAGTTCTGCTATTTCATCCAAACATGGGCCACTTGGCATAAAAAACGCCCACCGATAATGAACTCCTTTACATAGATGCTGCAAGAAAAAGATCACAGATATATTAAAAAGAGAGAAAGCTGAAACAGGAACTAAAAGTAATGACAGAAACACCAGAGAAGTATTTAAGCAAAAAACATGGAAATTATTCACTAGTGTCTGAAAAAAATGTCACCTAAGCATGTGGATTAAATGTACAGACAGGGGTGTTGTATTACCACAATAGGATCAGGGTGAATTTTGTGCCTAATTGCACAAGTCAGCTAGTTGAGAAAAACAACGACCTTGTCTCTGCAGCTAGAAATAGCATTATTTCTTATGTAAGAGAGAAACGGTGCAAAGCCATATGTTTATACACATTCACGGAGAGGGCTGAATAAGCCTAGCAATGTGACATTTAGAACTTTCCACCTGAGTGTCACTGATTAAATTTTCCACTATCACATCTGCCAGCCATCACCATCTGATGACAGTTGGGAGCTCACGTGAAAAGCATTTTAGGAAGATTTCACAAGCACAAGTCAATGGCACCTCCTCCGAGAAAGTCATTATAGGAATAAGAGCCTTGATTTTTCAAACGCAACTGACATTTAATGCATGGCATACAATGCTTCTCATCATGGAAACATGCAAACTGTTGCACTGAAAAATACAATTACATGATTTATTTCCAGGCTTCGTTTTGTTTTGGTTTTGAGCTTTCATTTGAAAGTATTAGCATGGGACTCAAAAATCTCACTCAGCCATGCCATTGCAGGAATATCACGGCAGCTGCTTAAAGAGCATTCATTTGGAGAGCAAGTACACATGTTGAGAGAAGACAAAGAAAAGTTCCAAGAAGTCTCACTGTTCTGGCCACTGCGAGAATGTTTCAAACGCCACTTAGTAGAACAAAAAAACAAAAAACAAAAAACAAAATCAGTACTGCCATCCAGGCATATGAACATGAAAGATGAAAGACTTTTTATCCACCCTCAACCACTTTTATTACTCTCCGGTGCTGGAATAGGATGAAGAGAATCAGTCATGTCACAGTGTTTTGAAAGAAACCCTGAGCAGCCTGAAGCAAGTAGCAAAATTACCCTGAATTCAGTGAGGCAGGAATTTGCTCTGCTTACACTAAAACACTAGCTGTCAGCAGGACTCACTAGGATGCCATATGGAAAAGGCCACACTGAAAAGCACAATGAGGAATCAAAACTTCCAAACACCCCAAACTATCACATATACTAATCAGCACCACCCCAATATATTTCTTCTGAGAAAGAAAGAAGGAAACAATAAAAATGCATCTGAAGTATGCTTAATGATGTACGAGGAAAATAAGATAGAAGCCTCTAGACGAGCCACACGATTAGCATCTAAGCCACAAAAAAAGCCACAAGGTACTGCATAAAAAGTAAAATTTACAGGATTCTGTCAAATACCTTTACAGTTTTGGAACCAATAGTGACTCCCGTTCGTAGCATGCCATCAGCCACTCCAAGTCTGTCCATATTGATTAAGAAAGGTGTTACTAAGGTAACATATGTTGCTCCTGACCATTTCCTTAGGAGATCTAGAGCCCACTTCTCAGTGGATCCACCAACGTTATCTAAGATGAAATCAAATCTGCAGACATGTAAAGAACAGGCTTAAAAATCACTGTATGGGAAAAACAGATCATTATTAAGCTAATCTATTTTAGAAACTGGCTGTAGTTTACATTTCTACTTGTCACTGCAATGGATTAAAATAATCCGCCTGCAAGGAAGTAGAAAGAAAGTCTGAAGACCTTCAACTAAACCCCAGCCTCACTCTACAAAGGCAGCTAAATTAACAGGTTATTGCTCATTCACTGCACAGCAGACACAAGCTACCTGGATAACTTAAACTGCTCTTAAACTCCAAAAAGCTGAGTTAGATGCACAGGTACATTCTATAATTTGTTGAAAGATTTCTAGAGCTCCATCTCCTCACTGCTCCCACTAAGGCTACTGAGACCGTCTTGAGATCCAGTCCTAGACATTTTACTAATATGCTATGTGCATGTAAAGTAGTCAGGACTCATGCCCTGATTAGGAACATCTCCTCTTCATGCTTTGTTCTCATGAAAGTCAGTCCCAGAGGTCAAACTTACATAAAGTATTCTACCAACCTCTACCTATCCCAACTTTTCTGCAACCTAAATTCCCAGCTTCGCTTTTAAAGGCCTTTTTTGATCTTCCTATTTGTTTTGGAGCTCTTTTACTCTTCCTCATCTACCTAAGCAAAGTAGAACATAACAATGCAAAGAGTCCAAAATCTCCTCTCCATGGAATGGATCTGCGTAGCCTCTGGCAACAAGCAGCCGTTTTAGCGTTCCTTTTCATTATCGCAGCATGTGAATCTGCCAAGGCTGAAGGGGGCAACTGAGAGCAATGCATCTATTCTGTTAGATGCACAGTTTATTCTCAAACACCTGTAAATTTCCAGCAATCTCCAAACAGCAATATATACATGGGTCTCATCTCAATAACCTACAAATAAGAGGGAAAATACTTTATGCAAACTATGCCAAAGAGTTCTTATCTCTCAGAAGATAGTTTTCCTGCACCTCTTCCAGCAGTGCAATTTCATGTTACAATTCAGTCAGCCTAACAGCTAGCTGCCACCAAAAGAGAAATTAAAATAGAAAACTAATGCTCCAGAAAAAAACTAGCTCAGCGTGGGGTCTGAAGAAAGTCAGTACAACTGCGAAGAGGGAAGTAGGACCATCCCTCCTGCTAGTAGCTACTTGACAGATTGATTAGCTAGGTCATAAAACTGTACCCTAAGACAGTGCTGGGATAGCTCCTCAAACTGTCTCTTGCTAAAACGGGTGTTTATCATTTAAGGTGCTGAATAGCACAAAGGCAGATTTAGCGCTGCTTGCAAATTGGTAAGTTAATTGCTGCATAGCCTGCCTGTACAGACACAGCCAATACCCTCAGCCAATAATTGATCTCAGCTCAGCTAACAATTGCACTGTAGTTAAAGGGCACGCCTGCTTAGCACAGCATCAGTAAGATTCTTTTATTAATTAAACAGTGTCCTTCTCTCTCAAAAAGCTAACTCAATCTAGCTAAAAAAAATAATGCAAATACCATATGCAAATACAAGTCACAGTAGACCAAGTTTAAACATACAGAAAAGTCACAGAAGCAAAAAGAATTTCAGTTCTAGGGAGAATCCCCCAAGCTACTTTAAATTTAAACTGCTACGACAAGATATAATATGATTAGCTATCAGAGTCAGCCATACTCAGTGTCACAGAAGAGAAATTTACTCCCAGCTGTGTTGTACACTGGCTAAAGCACCTTGGGCAAGCCACTTAACTGCTTCAGGACACAGTTCTTCCTTCCAAGAGATGAATTTTATTATTTACTAACCTCACACAGGATTCCTGAGATTTTAATTAAGCCATGCTTTACAAGCACTCTAAAATCCTTGGATGGAAGCTGACAGAACTGTTCAAATCAGTCACTGAAGAACTGCATGTAAAAGTGTGAGCTTGCCTCCACAAACCTGATTAACTGACTTAATCTTGCAATGAAACCTGTGCTTGGGATGCTCACTTGGCAAATTACGTTAAAAGTGCTTGGATGAACTTACTTTAGAAAGTAAGGCTTTCAAATGGGGAAAAACAAAAAACAGAGCCTGACCGGAGTCAAGTAATCAAAAGGCAAAAGGACTGACTGCCAAGTCCTTCATCTCAGTATTAAACACCACAAACACTTACAAAGGTAACGTTTTAAGTCGCTCTTCCAAATTTCCAGATTTGTAATCAATCACATCATCCACTCCAAGCTTTTTCATCAGAATGATGGCGTCATTAGAACAAACTGCTGTAACATGAGCACCCCAGGCTTTCACTAGCTAAAAACAAGCACCAAAAAAGAAAAAAAAAATCAATAACCCAAGGTTTACAATTTAGTAAAATAAAACATCTTTACAAGCCAAAAATCTCCTTATATTTTTATAATAAATAAGCACCTTTAGTAGGGATTGGGAAAACTGTGTTCCAACACAAGATGTCACATATCCCATAAACAAACCATGGCTAGAAGATCAATATTTAAGGAGTGGGGTTGGGGGGAGAAGTTGGTGTGTTTAAGTTTTGTGGTTTTTTTTTTTTTTTTTTTAAAAACAACACTTATAGATATCAGGTCTCAGGATAAATAGAACTTCAAACAAAAGTCTCAGTTTGCCTTCTGAATTTGATAACATGGACAGTAGCTCTTGGTTAGCTGACAATCTACAAAACTGTCACCAGATTTAACCATCCTAGGGATTAAAATATTTTGAATTGCTATCAGCTCCTTAAGTATTTCACTGTAAATAACTTAATTATTAATAAAAGGAATACAAAAAAGAAGAAAATAAACCTGATATCCTCCATATGGTGAATGAGAGATATCTTCTAGTACATAAAGCTACAGCAAAGTAAAGGATTCCTGCTAGTTATTTCTCTCTTCTGTAATCTCATTTTTCCTTCACAGTATTTTTTGACATTTACTCTAGATGAATTAATTCATTTGGTTTACTCAGTTTAATTGCAGGTAGAAATCGCAATGAGTCAATACCTGGCTCAGCCTTTTTATTGGTATCATTTAGCCACCTGCTTTATCATGGCTCAGGCAAACAGTGGCATACCACTAAAAATTCTCCTGTGATCCTCTTAAGACCATTACGTTTATAGTCTAGTAAAATGGAAAACAGTGATGTAATCATCCAACTTGCACATTTTTTTCATATTGTGAGGAGAAAGATGTTGTAGCATGAGAAGACATTGATTAGCATCCAAATCCCCCCGTATTACATGAAAGCATGAAAAGAGGACGTTTCACAATTAATGGTTCAACAAAAGAATACGTTGACTAGCCAAAGTTTAGAGCTACTAGAATGAAGACAGACAAAAGGACAGCAGAGGAAAGACAGCAAAGGAAATTAATTTACAGCTTATACACACTACACTTGTACATCTTACATCCTTTGACCATCACCACCAGCTACAGATATTAACATATGAGAGAAAATTGAAACTGCGATCATCTACTTTTTCCACCAGATTTTCTACTTGCACACTAAGTTCTTTTCAGATTTATGGAGCTGAGCTGTGAAAGGGGACTGAAAGAGAATGAAAACAGGCTACATATTTCAAGATATACAAGTTACAAATTTGCTGCACCCAAACTATGAAATGTGATCTTTTGCTACGTACACTCACAACACCCTTTTCTGAAGCTCCCCGCTTCCTACCTTAAGCCAGTAAAACATAACTATGGAAAGGAACAAACTCAAAATATTTCACTTTTGGAGCTCTGGCAGATTATTCAGTATCTTGTATTTAACTATCCTTTCCCTCAGTTCCCTTCCATCAAATTTTGTTCATGTTGAATAATTTCAACATGTGATGAAGGCACATCTTGGGCATGCCACAGTATATTACCTGTACAGCAAACGTACCAACTCCTCCTGAAGCTCCTAATATTAATACTCTGTAAGAGAAAATTAAAATTTATTAAATAGCTATTTAAATAAACTGAATAGGAAGTCAATCCCATTTTATATTCTAATGCTTCTTATACATCTCAGACATCAAATTGCTTTAAGCAAAAGATTATACTTGCCATTCACAATGACTTAGTGGTTAACTCTTCAGACACCTGGTAATTAATTGCTCATCTTATGCGCAACATTGCTGATCTTATTTCCTGTGCCAAGACCATTATCTCAGCCCAAAGAGACTTATTCCTATGTGCTTTCCGCTTTATCCAGCCAGTGGAGCTGTCAGGCAGTAACACTTATCACCAAAAAGCCCGGTCAGGAGTCCATACTTTCCCAAGCAGAATTGCTTAGGTTGGGACAAATCAGATAAGAGTCTCTCCGCCCACCAGACTCCACCGGCATTGCCCTGTCATATTTCCCAGAGGAAAAATCAAGTTCATCAACATTTAACACAAACTGGTATTACCCAAGATAAAAAGTGGTTTAGTTTCACAGTATTTAGAGAGAGCAGGAACTGCAGAATATACGAAACATAATTTTCCCATATCATGCTATATCTATCTGAAAGACAGACAAGTAGCAGAGAAGCCTCACCATAAATAAGTTTATTAAAATAAGGTATCTGTCCCTTTCTTTAGGAAAAAGGCAGTAGAATTTTTTTTAGCTTCATAGCTTTCAAAAATGACCCTGTAAAATCCCAGGTTGTGGGAATCGATAAACAAGCAAGAAAATAAAGGAGTCCACTACCTAATTATTAGAGAGTTCCTCTTAACTGTGTGAGATAAACAACTCACAGTGACTTATGGAACACACTATCCTAATTTAATCAAAATGAATACAACTTTAGTGGTGTGAGAACCTTACCTCCTACAGTCCAATCACTATTCAAAAGCTTCATCTAGATATTTTTAATAAATAGCTAGACTTCAGGAAGGACAGTAGTAAGAAAGTCTTGCAACTGAAGCTACAAACAATCTGACAAGCTTGGACCCATTTGCTAATTCCAGGTCAGTCTTGGCATTGGACTGTGGAGCCCCATGTTGCTCAGAACTTCAGTTTTCCAACAAAATTTCAGTATTTTCAAAAGCAGGTGGTGTTCCTGTTTTAAATCTCACTGTGCTGGGTGTTGCAGGAAACTGCTTGTCCAAAGCGCCAATGCGTACTGTACAGTCTCAGTTTACAAAAACTCTGAAGTAACTTAAGAGGCTCGGCTTTGGTCACAGTATCCATTTTAAAATGTTTTCTCTTTTGTAATAGATTAGATTCTGCTCCCTCCTATTTCACTGATTTAAACCGCAAAATTCAGATTGAGAATTTCAAATCTCAGTGCCTGCCACTGTTCCGTCTGCTAAAATGCACTTATACTCAGAATCATACTTTTAACGAAAGGCGGCTAAAGCAACATTTATATTTAGATTTTATTATCCTACAAAAAGCACTACAGTATCCTACACTCACAATACTGGGTTGAGACCATCTTTATCCTTACAAAGGACGGTCACAACTAAATCCCTACAAAAGGTGAAATTCCATTACATTCCATTACTACAAAAACAGCAAATTCCTTGTCAAACAGTCTTCCCAGTTTTCCTTCTTGCTTAAATACTGGAGAAAGCTGTAGTCTGAAAATGTACATTTTGCTCAGTGATTTATGGAACACTTTCGGTTTTGGGGAGCTGCTTGGTTACAACTGCTTTTTATTTCCCCTCCCTCAATAAAAGCCCTCGAGATTCTTGAGGGAGAAATACGTTCTGGATTAGTTGTGTTCCTATGCTACATGGGCTATTTTCTACCAAAATTTCCTCTTACTAAAGCTTTCTCCATATAATCTGAGTCGAAAAAAGCTCTTTGCTTCAGAGAGAAACTACGTTTACACTCTTAAAGGCAGCTACACCACAGAGCCATCTGCCGCCCTCCAGGCCAAGTGACCCGTGCATGACTCTCGACTCGAGCCCACAATGCTTCCAGTTCACCTGTAGGAGACTGCCCTCATCCCTGCCTACACAGCCCTTGCCCTGGGCTGCCTGCAGTGCTGCAGTGGCTGTTACACATTTGCTTGGCTGTTCTTGTTTCTTTCAGCTCAAAGTCTTTGTAATTACAGGAGGCTTGTGGGCCACAGCTCAACACATCAGCGTTTTTATAACGCTGGGGACACAACGCATGCTGTTTGGCGTAAGGTAAAGAAGTGGGGAAGTGTTTGAAGGTGCAGGACCTGTTAGAATGGTATTGAAGGAACACAGAGGGTGTAAAGTGCCAAATCAGGCACAGCTTTGTTTGTATTGCCTAAGGAGAACATAGGCAGGAGAAAATGATCTCCGAGGAACTACCTGAGTCACTGCAAAGGCGAACTCTGAGAGTGAACTAACATACAAGCACGTGCACAAGTGGACCAGGACCCAGGAACAAACTAACGAGTTATCTGACCTGGCCAGAGACCCAAGAGGAAAAAGTTCTCCCAGAAGAACAAAGACTCGTTCATCTCGCCTACCATAAGCTTTGCTCCCTTCTGGTGGAGGAACATAATTCAAGTAAGTATCTACCAATATTTATTTGAACTTTTCCATCCTCAGCATTCACTAAGTCCCATATGATGCTCTAGTGGTTCAAATGAGCACAGAATCAGCAGATCTCTCCTGATGAGTATACCATGGGATCTACGAGCTTAGCACTTCTCTCTGGACCCTGCTCTGAACTATGGCACGGCCAGAAAACGGCATCGGAGAACCAGGACCTGTTTCAGCTGTGCTCAACAATGAGAAACAAGGCTGGGGGAGCAGGGCAATGCAGGCTAGAATTGTCTACACTCAATTAACACAACTTTCAGTGGCTCAACCACATGTGCATAAATAAAGCAAAGGTTTAACAGCAAGAGATGTACCTGCCAAACTCTACTTGATTACATCAACAACGTCTTCTTGGGTATTTCTTCTTGTTATATCAAGAAGCTTTTATCCTATCAAGAACTGTTATACCCTACACTCACTTTTTTCTTCTCAACAGATGAAACAATGAAACAAAGCACAGACTTTTTGAAAATATTTTCTTGCGGTATTGCATCATTCAACTTTTCATTTTAACAGCATAAACCAAGGGAAGTTTAATAACTTACAGTAACAGAATCCTAATATATTTCCTCCTGGTATTCTGGTATACTAAGTTTTTTTACTTAGTATTAATGTAAAAGTTTTCAAGAACTTTTCAAACTGTCAGATTTTTTTTTTTAATCATGCTTTTTGTGAACCCAGTAAGACATTTAAGAGAGTTATTTTTGAAGGAGCGCATCCTTCCAGTGAAAGAGGACCCTCACAAATATGAGAAGCCCTCCAAGTGTTATCCACAGAGAACTTCAGAACTGTAGAGTCATTATGAACATTTTGGATAACAAGAACATTCACTTTTAGCTTGTGAAAGAATACACATTACAGTGATACAGGATAAAAGTTAAGAAATGACTAGAGCTGTAGCGAAGCAGGAGACATCATGAACAATTTGAATACGCTTCAGGTAACCATGGGGTCATGAAACTCGCAAAAATAGTATCTGTGAAAGTAAGTGCAAATGCAGTAGAGACTATTGTCAGATCAGAATATAGTCAGGTATTGGACTAAGAATATTTCTGGTTAGCCCACCCTTCCACCTTAAAGAGGCAAAGAAAACAATACACACCAATGGAAAAATCTCGCTGTTTCTAAGATGTCTTAACACTGCAATAGAGTATCAGTGAAGTAGTTTTCATCAAGGAATACAGATGCTCTTTCAAAATAAGACACACTCTTGTGTGTATATACACCCTTCTACATAGCTATATACATACACCTACAGGAGACAAAAAGACCAACATAAAATCACATATATGGGTACCTTCTTGCCAATCAGACATGTTAAACTATTTCAAGAAATTAAAAAACACTATGTACATTCTTACCCTATGAAATTATTGTCTTGAAATAGTAACGTAAAGTTCATAAAATGTACTTTTGCAGAGACACTTTAGTGTTACATATATATATAAAAAAATGCATGAATATATGTATTTTTTCCATTTTCTCCAAGATTTTTTTTCACTAAAAAAGCACCTCACATAAGCCATTCTCTGTTGGTTTTGAAACCTAAACCTTCAAGATGGGGAAACATCATAAATTTTTAAATATATGAAAATGTTTTTTGCTGATAGAGTAATTAAATATTTGTTGGGAACATAAAAGTAAATGTTAAATATAAATGCAGTTTACATCTTACTTTTAAAAAGTTGAACACTTATGTGAACATTGTAAAGACACTTTAGGAAAAGGTTAGCCCATCAACATATCTTTAGGTTAATTATATTTATATGGGAAAGTTAAGACAGCAAAACACAGTGTGAACACTTAAGAAAAAAAGAGATGGTAAATCTAGGATGTTATCACGAGCTGCACATAAACTTCAAGGAAGTCTTGCAATTTATTTTCTCAAAATATTTTTTAATCTGCAGAACAAACATTTGCTTTACATTTTCCCTGATGGAATTTACTGTGGCATACTAAAAACCATTCACTTAAGTATCTTTTAAAGATGCGGATGAAGACTTGCAATAAATCTAGCGTCCTTCACAATGTGTTGCGCTGGAACACTAACCCCAAGATAAGAAGAGGTCAGACAAGCAGATTCCTAGTGCCCAACCTTATTTCATGATCTAAACTTTTGGTGCAGTGTAGTAGTTTTAATGATTATTTTTCAATTCCAGTATTTTTTATTTTAGCCTTCTTTCCATTCTCAACATTTTGCTATCTATTTACATAAGCACCTAAAGGCCAAAATAACGGCAAATTTCAATTATCAGGTGAAAAATGGTCCACCTGAAAAATGGTCCAATCTTTCAATACATTTTTTCCTCCTCCTGTCCTTCACCTGCCACTATCAGATTAACAGGCTGATAATAAAGCCACTTTTTCTATTTGTTTTGGCTGCTAGTCTTGCATGTTTTCCCCTTCTCTTCTGCCTTTCTGACTCCACCAAAGTTCTGTCCCACAGGCCAAATGAGACCCCATCATCTTCTCCTTTTTCCTAAAAACACGGACGACCAGTCTGATCCAAATGTCCCAGGGCATGCCAGAACAGAGCAACTGAGTGAACCACATCTCTGTGGATGAGAGGACACAAGATAACTCAAAGAGAGAATATATTTGGATAAATGGCCTAGCATGCAGCAAGATAAAGTCCCTATAAATTCCTAGGGGCACTACCGCTACATTTGCAGTATAGTCAGCAGAGGAAGCTTGCTCATCAGCAAGCGGCTAGAACACTTCAGTCAGGCTCCTGGTCTGAATCTCCTTCTAAAGGAGCCTCTCTCGTTAGTTGTATAGATTGAACTCAGCACCTTTAGGCCAGCTGACCTTTTTTAATATTACAGTCTTCATCACTGTCAGATGTGCCTTATAATTTGCTAATCAATATAAAAATGGAACACTAAGCTTTAACACCAAAACTAGTTACTTACCTTTTCCCACCACAATTTTTGTCATTCAGTCCTCCAACATTGTTAACTGCAGACCATGCTGTGAGACCTACGTATGGTAAGGAAGCAGCTTCCGTGTGACTGAGACACTTGGGCTTAAAAGACACCTGAAATAAGACCAATTGTATCCAAGTCACAGAGCAGATCCTATGTACCACTGAAATACTTAGACAAGCTTTATTGATTTGCAGATCACGTACTCCACATTTCCAACTTATCTTGATTATCCACAATTAGCAAAAGATTGTAAATCAGTCTAAGCACTAAGAATTAGTTACTTAGGCACAGAAGAAAAATAATGTAAATATTAACAATTTTAAGTTTTGTCTCTTGGCTATATTTTTGAAGGTTTACCTCATTTCCACTAGCTACAACAAACTCTGACAAAGTGCCTTGTTTCCATGGAGGAATTGCTGCCCATACCTAAAAACAAAGGGAAAGCAACTATCAATTTTTGTTACTTTGCACAACATTGTAGATACAGAGACAAGTTTTCTTTATGAAAGAAACTTTCTCCCAGTTTGCAAAGTCTTCACTATTGCTCATCAGATAATAGTTTACCTTACTCTTTAAACAAAAAGCATGAGAAGAATAACTAAATGAAGGACTGCTGAGCTGCATAAGCTGTACCACACTGTGCACAGTATATATATTCCTTAAAAAAGGAAATTACTTTCACAGAAGGAAAGCCCAGATTGGGGAAGGGGAGAAAAAAAAAAAAATTTGCTATACTGGCACTAAGAAGTTGAAAGCAAATCATACCAGGATTTATGTGGGAGTTGAAAAGTCATTCTCCAGCTATGCCAGAGTTCCTACTATTACTACTTAAGTAACCCAAGGCAAAAAAAAAAATAAAAAAAATCCCTCTTCCAGTTAGAATTCTATCTTCAGTCAAAATGAAGCAGCATCTTGAGTTTGCGTAGTTATAAATAAATTCCCCTCTTTCTGCCACTAAAATGGACCAAAAATTTAAGAAGTTAGGCAACTTGTCGAAGCAAGTTTGGGAAAAGGTGGGATGGTTTTTGTTTTTTTGTTTTGTTTTGTTTTTTTAAAGAGAAAGAAGGTAGAGAAGAAAGCATTCCAAAGACTTTCTGCACAATACTCTTCGTGTGCAAAATCACAGGAGAACAACAACAACAACAACAACTTAAGAGGGAAATGAAACCTGAACAGGTCATGCTATATTTTAACTATGCTTTTTTAGGAAAAAAGAGATTAGTTATATCACCTCATCTCCAGGTTTGAAATAAGACACACTTAGTCCACATTCCATAACTACACCAGACACATCTCGACCAAGCGTTAGTGGAAATTCATTCTCCACACTATTCAGTTTCAGGGGATCCCGCTTCATATTCAATGCAGTGGCACCATAACCACCTACAAAACATGAAATTAATCATAACATGTCTTATTGCGTTTTCATTTAAGAACTAGACAATTCCAATTAGAAAGCACTGTCTGCACCTGATGTATCTAGTTTTCAAAATATTCTTCATTTTGATAGTAGCTTAAGCAGGCCCAAAAAGTGGAATATTTTATATTTTTACAGATTTTACAAAAAACTCAAATTTTAACTCTGACCTATTTCTTCTTTCCTCCCCTACATAACACACACTATGTGTAAAAATACAAATCACCATAAAACAATTTAGCAAGTTATACTATGATCTTATTAGACACTACACAAAAAGGCTCTTTGTTATAGAGGGATCTAATATGTGGCAACACTGTCATTTTAAGAAGCCTGCGGGAAATGCTCCACTGTCCAACAACATCACAGAAATCCAGAAGAACTGCAAGCTTTCCATTCCACTTTTTCATATAAAATACCATAAGCATAGCAACATGAATATCTTTGTAAAAATTAAGGAACATATCCTAGGATGAGAAACCTTAACTTCTATTCAATAAGAAAGAGCTAAATGCTGTGAACTCCTAGGATTATGCACATAGCAATTCTGCTCAGCCTGACAAACCTGTATTCCAACATATATGGCCTTTCAAACGTCTGAGAAAGCCTATTTGCCTTATTATGCTAAGCGGTATGTAAAGACACAAACGCAGACACCTTGAAAGCAGGATGAAAGCAGGATGAAAGCATGGTTTCTTCCAAACGCTCTCTCGCTGGCACAAAACACAAGCTGTGCCCCAGAAGCTCAAGTGGGTCATTCAGCCACAACCCTCAGATAAGGAAACGTTGCATAATCAAACCCACAATTAAAAAGGCTTCTTAATTTATTTGAAACCCAAAATACAAATCACAGCTTTGTCAGCAGGCTTCATGCAGATATCTCCACACGGGTTACTGAATCTAATTTGATATGTGAGGTCACATCTCAGCATGAAATGCAAGATCTTCAACGACTGCGACTTCCTTCTCATATTTCAAAACTTGAAACTGAGAAAACATTCTGATTAAACATGCCAAATACAAAGAGTCAGTCAAAGGTACAGATTTCCCGGGCTGGTTGACAACAGCTACTCAGCTGCCGTTTCAGGAATACGCAAGGCACATGACAACGAACGTTGCGGTTTGCACTAGCTGGTACAGGCTGAATTTGAGGTGACCTTGAGCTTCAGCCCCGTTGATGTTCAGGAGATGGGAAAACTCGGTGCATCTCTCAGGGCAAACCTTTCCCCTCTGAAGGACTAGGGTCTTGATCAAGAGAGCGCTACCTGCTAGCACCCAGATGGTAGGGAAGGGGGAGGAGGCCAGGAAATAAAATCCCACCATGGCTATGCTGCTAACAAGTCAGTCGACTTGCGCGCCTCCAGCCTGCGAGAGGCCAGCAAACGGTTACCCGGACCAAAAACGGGTAACCCACCCCCACCTTTTTGCCTTCAGAAAGGCAATGGCCTTTTTAAGCCTGAACTACAGGAATCTGAGAGAGGCGGGCGGGCTCCGGGCGAAGCGCGTCTCAGAGCGGCAAGCCTCGCTGGAGACGGGCGCGACTGAGGGACGCTCGGGACTGTAAAAGCCCCCGGGTACGTCAGGGCCGCGAAGAAACCACACCGCGGCGTTTCGGGTTATTTCCTCAGAGGCGGCGGACGGCCGGGCCTCAGGGTGAGGCGCGGCAGGAGGCGGCACTTACTTCTCATGCTAAGGTCTATGGGGTTCAGGCTCGCGGCGTGCACTTTAATCACCACCTCGTTGGGGAAGCGTATGGCGGGCAGCGCCATGTCCCTGGTAAAGCGCAGCACCTCGTTGCGGCCGTACCGGTCAATGACCCAGGAAGGCATGGCGGTCCGCGCCGGCGGCGAGCTGCGCAGCCC